TTGGCCCCTTCTCCCCTCTATTTGTCTTCATTGTTGCCACCTCTCTATGCACACAGTATTCTTATCATTCCTTTCTTGACTGTCCTCTATGAGAACAGTTTGAAGTTCTCTCTTGCATGTTGGTTGTGCGTATGAGTGTGGTTTGGTTTCCTTTGCTAGTTGTTGGCTGCTAATTGTGGGTATGGTTGTATGCCTACAATGTTGGTTGTTGGAAGGAGTTGACTCTAATTTTGTTGAGACTTTGCATTGATGGTTTTGAAGTGTGTGGCTTTGAAGCCTTTGGTTTTTAAAATATTATGTTGAATAATGATGAAAAAAATAAAGAGCTCAACAGATCACCAATTGTTACTTAATATCCTCATCAGTTTGTCACATATAACGCCTGTTACTTAATCTAAGCATAATAGTAAATGAAATTAAGAATAAAGTAAAGATAATTACTTGATCTCAGAGAAAAAAACACACACACATTTAAAGTCACAAAAGGCCAAACAAAAAGAAGATTTTTACTCAAAATTCAATTCAATAACTGATAAAAGTAATTATACATCAACCCTACTTTTAGGATTACAAAGACTAAAAATAAAAAAAAGAGGATAAAATTTTGAAGGGAAAGATAATTGGCTATTAATGGAAGAAGGTGTCACGACCTTTTTAAATTTTCTGATGGCCAGCCCATACAAGTATCCAATTTTAGAAATTTAAACTTTCTAGGGATTAAAATTGAAATTCATCAATATAATATAAATGCAAATATTTATTTCTAATTGTGCTCTTGTGATTGGACTTGAATGGGCTATTGCATGGGCATTTTCTTGGGCTTTTGTAATTGAACTTTTAGCTTCATTTTATTTAAAGTTTAATTGATCTTTGGCCTTCATTTAGGTTCTTCCATGATTGATCATATCTTATTACACCTCCCAGTTATCTTTCATGTAAAGTATAATTTTTATTTGTGCAAAGAATCTTACATTGTTTTGCATCATTAATGCTAGCAATTGATTGAGGGAGGATTTGAAAATTCTATTATAACAAATACAAACTCAAATTGAATGAGACAATATGACTAGAAAAATCTTAAAACAACTTAATGTTTCATATATATGACGTTTTCAGCTTTAAAGTGGCATTAATCATTATCAAAGTAGAGGGATCCAAGACATCAAAGTGGCTTGGGTGTTATTGAGGTGATTTGCATTATGATTGATTTAAAGGTGTATAAAAGAGAATTATGACTTATTAAAGCTGGGGTCATTCTAAGGTAACACTTCTCATTCTTCTTCCACCGCCTTCTTTTGGATGAGAGTGAGTGACATCGACTTTATATATGCTTAAAATTACAAGAAATTGATACTGCAGCTAGAAGATTTAATTCCCCGGCAACGACGCTAAAAAAACTTGACAACGGTTATAGATTCGATAAAGAGGTGTATAAAATATTCAATAATTGCAAAGTCACACCTATCAACACAATTATATGTGTCGCTCAAGTAATACATGGCTGTAAAGGAGT